GGATATATCGTATCGTGACCCCTCTGTCATGATATGTATCGTATCGCCAAATTCTTGCCAATACACAGCCCTAGTATTTGTACTGAACCATCAAGGTACATGAGTACATCTTAGATCCAAACCAGATGATAAATACTTCAGTGAAGTGTACATATTTAATCAGTAAACAGCCACACTTACAGCAGCAGGGTTCACAGTGCTAATGACAGCTGCTCAGTAAATATTTATTTTTTTACAAAAGTGGACAAAATTGATGGTACCTCTCATTTAATGAAAGGAAAAACCACAACGGTCACAGAATTAACTTGAATCTGACAAAAGGAATAATAAATGAAAATTATATAAAAAAAATGAACAAATGAAAGTCAGACGTTGCAAACGATTCCTGTAACTGTCAGTGAGACTTCTGCTCCTCTCAGCAGGTATTTTGGTCCACTCCTCATGAGTAAACTTTGTCTCAAGTTTATTATAGGCAATTTTTGTCCACGTGTGTATGAAAGTCAGACGTTGCAAACGATTCCTGTAACTGTGAGTGAGACTTCTGCTCCTCTCAGCAGGTATTTTGGTCCACTCCTCATGAACAAACTGGTCCAGGTGTTTAAGGTTTCAGCTCCTTCCAGAGACGCTCGACAGGATTTAGGTCAGGATCATAGAAGACTTCAGAACTGTCCAGTGTTTTCCTCTCAGCCATTCTTGGCTGTTTTTAGCTTTTTTCTCTGTTGTAAGACCTGCGACTGATGGTGCGTTCCAGTAGTCCTGGGAAGTGGTAATTTCCCAGTTCCCATTGGTAGATTTAAACTGGAACGCCCCCTCCAGTGGTAATATTCCACTCGTACAGTGAAGAAATGAAACTGACCCCAGTTTCGATTTCAAGATGGCGGCTACTCGCAGCTTTAGAAAGTTAATTCCGTAACGTTTACTGTTAATTATCTTTCCTAATTTTGTGCATGTTTAATCACTCGCACAAGTAGTGTGTTTTCTGTGCAATGCTGTACTTATTAAAATCAATGTTTATTTGCATGACGTACGTAGTAGAGCTCTCTTTTTGTCATTGTTTACATTGTAGCAGTGTTGTAGCTAGGTTAGCGGTAGCCTGTAGGCTAACTGGAATGCAGTTTCATATGGTTTGTTGGGAAATGACGTCACTACCATTTACCAGTTCAGGGAATATGATGTAAATGGAACRCAGCATGAGACCAAGCTTTCTGACACTGGGCAGCACARTTCTCTCTAGAATCCCAGAAAAGCTTCATCTGTTCCAGTATTCACACTGACTCTCAGCAAAATCCACTCTGACCGTCCCACCATAAGCTGCAGATACTGTCTGAAAATGATGTGTGACGTCACAAGTGAGGGTCCTCATTTAGCAAACTTTTTATCTGATAAAAGGTTTCTGGGACACTTTACAGTTCAGACTGGAAGAAAAAGGCAGTAAAATGTGACTTTGTTTTTATTTACATATTTTGTAACGCTTTCTTTCACGGTACCCTTATTACCATGTAATTACAAGGTAATAAAAATGGTAATTAAATGTAATTACTACCTTATTA